CGAATACGTCACAGGGAGATTGCCAGCTTTGCTGTGCGGGCGGGATACTCTCGGTAGCTTGCTGGGCTCTCTGAGAGGGACAGAGGAATCGAACTCAGGTCGGCCATGCGCAAGGCAAACGCCCTACCCACTGTGCTATTGCTCTATCCAAATTATTAGTGTACATACCATAAAATTTAAAAGAAAGAAAAATAATTACAATATGTATATAATATCACTTAATATTGTAGAGAAAACATTAAGACTATAATTTCATGAAAAATGGATACTAGTATTTTCTTTTACTCGGGAATTTTTAAGGTCCAGACTTTATTTTCAGTGTCAACAAAAATGAATATATTGAAGACAACAATATTAAGGTTCTCTCAGTTCTAAAATAGTAACACAAAATTTATTATTCATCTTACTATTCCTCAGAGTCTCTGAGCCCTTAGTTCTAAATTTATTTTCATGAATACATTAAGAGTAATATTGCTTACGATTTTTTATATTAGAGTTAAGGGATTTTCTTCTTCCTCAAGTGTATAAAGAGATGTATTTTTACGGAAGGATTAAGTACATCTATCATCCTTTAAACCTTTTTTTAGTCATTCCAGAGCATATGTAGCAACTACATAATTAGACCAACACTTATGACTATCAAAGCTATTTTATCTCACTTCCCACCTGGCACGTTGAAATTAAACAAATGGTTTTGAAAACAAATATTGAGCAGCATAACTATAACTGCTTAGTACTATTTTAATATCTGAGTGTGTCTTATAATTAGTAATCCTGGGAATGCAATAAATACAAGCACAGAGGTTAATATTATTTCCAACTAATATTGTTTTCCAGCCCACTAAATTTGTTACTTATAGCAGAGAGAAAAATGGTGAGAAACAAAAATAGCATGTGCTAAATTTTCAGGTTACAAGTGTAAATTATCCATTATCACAATGCATAAAACCATATGTTACAAAATGATCTAGCTCTCCTTTATTATTAGGATCAAAAGTTTTGAGGATTTAATAGATGAGAAAACATTTGCATAAAATTATTCTTCAAGGGGCTCCAAAGTAGTTGGGACTCACCTATGGTTCTGAGCCAACTGGGCAGACAGTTCAATATCAGGCCCAAAGGATGTGATGCTTCCCAGGCCCTGTGGTGCTGCAAGTTACTGAATCACTTTTGGTGCTGGCAGCACCCAAGGCAGCAATGAGAGAAGCTTAGGAGACCTTATGGTGAAAGGAAGTGTACTGGGAGTGAGAGAGTTCAACCCCAAAACACTGTTGGATGTGGTACAAAAAGCAAAAACAAAAATCAGAAAATAAAAGAGCTTCTCATTCCTTTTTTTTTCATTTATTGCTTTGTTCAATTACATTTTTAAATGTTTTTGCTCTATTTTCATTCTTTTATTTCCCTCATTCATTTTCCAAATATAGTTTCTTTTTCCCAGCCTCCTTATTTCTTCTGCTTTTTTTAAATCACTTTTTGTCTACTTATATCGAATATCCCTGTAATTCATAGGTTTCAACTCTGGAACAAAGCTGATACTAACCACATGCTATTCTAAAGTGTAAAGTCTTAATTATCACAGCATTCAACCCAGTTTATCCCACTAAAACAAATAATATAAGCAAAAAACAAATTGAAATTAATTTGTAATAAAACAATTTTATACAGAAACATTTTCTTGCAAATCTTGTAAGCAGTTTTAAATAAAAAAATAAGCTAGTCTATTCACATTTATCTTAATTACAGTAAATATGTACTTTGATATTTCAATGACTTTTTATACTTTAGCAGACTATTTGCCATGCAACCCTATTAGTAATGGTTAAAGGTAAAGGTAAAGGTAAAGGCCCTCCCGTTGTTCATCGATTTGCTCGAGCGGGCCCAGTAACGTCTCCATTGGAGATTTTGTTGTTACTGTGTTTGGCATATCGAATACATCACGGGTGGCTTGCCAGGCTCTGCCGTGCAGGCGAGATACTCTTGGTAGCTTGCCGGGCTCTCCGGGAGGGGTGGAGGAATCGAACTCGGGTCGGCCATGTTGGCTGCGTGCAAGGCAAACGCCCTACTGCTGTGCTATCTCTCCAGCCCTCCAGTAATGGTTAATATAATTAAATTGTCTTGAATGTTTAGGTTAAATCAAATATTATTAAGTAGAATAAAGAGAAATAGCAAAACTCACATAATGGTCAAGCAATAAATTGCTTTCAGTTTACTCTAGGCAAAACTAATACAAAAAATTTAGAAAATAATATTAGAAACTTTTTAATTGTTGAATATTTACACTATGACAAACACTCTACATTATCACACATGCAACAACACCTTGAGATAGTAAAATAAAGATTATTTATATGATTTATACAATGTACACAAAGTTATAAGCTATAAGAATTGGAGGACAGGTTGATACCAAATTATTATTAATTCTGAAACATCATTTGTATATGGGCAATAGAAAAAAACTTTTGAATTATTTGATTCCTCATTAATTTGAAATTCCAGTAACATTTATTAAATAATTAAATACTTGCAATTCTCTTTTATTTGTGATCATTTAAAATCTGAAGGTATTTATCCATTTTTCTATATGAATTCGAGCTCCAGCGGGCCCAGTAACGTCTCCATCAGAGACTTTGTTGTTACTGTGTCTGGCATAGCGGGTAGGGCGTTCGCCTTACAAGCGGCCAACATGGCCGACCCGAGTTCGATTCCTCCGCCCCTCTCGGAGAGCCCGGCAAGCTACCGAGAGTATTCGATATGCCAGACACAGTAACAACAAAGTCTCCAATGGAGACGTTACTGGGCCCGCTCGAGCAAATCGACAATCAATGGGAGGGCCTTTACCTTACCTTTACCTATATGATTTCAATGTTTTTTTTTTTCAGAATAAATAGTGTACCACTACTTGAGAGGATAAGTAACTACACAATTTTTATTTTGCTTTATTGTCCAAAACACATGAACCCAGTCATATTAAATTTTTTATGATAAGGATTTTAAATTTTATTTTATTTTTATAAAGCTGTTAACAATAATTTATTACATTTAATTTTCAAACACCAATCCCTCCACCATTATATCTTCTCACCATCATATTTCAAATATTTTCATCATAAATCTCAAACCCTGCCCTCAAAGCAGATTTTGGATTTCTGATATTTTACTTATTAAGCCTGGAAGTATTTCTGCCGAGAAGTAAATTCATTTTTATATGAGAAATATTTGTACTCTTTTCCATTAAGGCTGAACCAACTTGCATGTCCATCCGTATTAAATGAGGGTTTCTTTATTTCATATTCTTGCTAGCAGTAGATGCTTCTGACCCTTAAGATTGGTTGCTTTCTACTTTAAACACCATCAAAGTAGAAGGCAACCAATCTTAAGTGTGTAAGCCACACACACACACACACACACACACACACACACACAAGGTTCTACCTTGATTCTTGTAACCAGCTATAGAAACAAATTATTTCAGAATGTCTTTTCAACAGGTCTGATTTGGGGGTGTAACTCTACATAATAATAGTGCATCTTTTGTCAAAACAATGAATCTAATCAAAGTAAAAAAAATGAATTTACTATATTTTATGCAAATCCAATCCTAGGTATCTATCTGAAGAACACAAAATTGTTCCCTATAACAAATAGTTATTTACAATAGTCAATATAGGGCTGGAGTGATAACACAGTGGGTAGGGCATTTTCCTTGCATGCAGCGGAACTGTCCAAACCATATTTGATTCCTCCGCCCCTCTCGGAGAGCCCAGCAAGCTATCGAGAGTATCTCACCCAGACAGCAAAGCCTGGCAAGCTCCCTGTGATGTATTCGATATGCCAAACACAGTAACAATGAGTCTCATGATGGAGACGTTACTGGGCCCACTCAAGCAAATCGATGAACAACGGGAGGACAGTGCAATATAAGAAATCAACCCAAGTGCTCAATGAGAGATGTATAGGAAAAAGTGTGTTGTGTGTGTGTAATACTACTCATCTAAAATAAAATAAAATCATGCCCTCTGTGACAATATTAATTATCTAGAAGAGGTTATAATAAGCAAACTCAGTCAGAAAGAGTAGGACAAATACCAGATATTCTCACCCATATAAGGCATATAGAGAAGCAAAATAAGGGAACCGACAAAGTCAATTAAAAACAAACTTTCAAGATTCTGGTGGCAGAATTGAAGTTACCAGAGGTAAAGAGAGAAAAGGAAAAATGAAGTACAAGATCCAAAAGACTGTGTTGGAGGAATATTGGTACTTTGGTAGTAGATTGGGGTGGTGATAAAAATTTGGCAGAAATGTTTAATTATACTCATAAAATATGCACAGTTTTGGAAATTAATGTTACCTCCATAAAAGAATAACAAAAACCAAAAATTAAAAAGGTGCTATTAAGAGTTAATGTCGAGAGAAGAAAAGTGCCTGCCACAGAGGGTCGGGGACAGGCGAGGGAGGTGGTGGCATTAGGGATATGGGGGATATTGTTAGTAGATAATGTAAACTTGTGGACGATGGGTGTATTGTATTGAAGCTTGAACCGAACTTGAATATTGAACTGAAACTCATTCATGAAAGCTTTGTAACTATCTCATGGTGATTCAATTAAAATAATAATAATAGTAAAAGATAGAATTCACTTCCAAAGATTCTCATCATAAAGTGTAAACTAATAAATAATGACACTGTGATTCTGATGTGAGAGCCTGGAGGTTAATCACAGATGACAGGTTGGGTTTGTTTTCACTAGCTAAAGGATAAAACATGAGAAGATTAGAGAACACCTGGGAAAAAAAAGTCTGTAATGTAGAACCTTGTTTAGTTGTTTGCATTAAGATAGGATTCAGTTCTTTGTGGATTACTAATGAAAAGATAATCTTACTGGTGTGGTAGCGGATACAGTGAAAACTGGGCCCTAAGAATGATTTTATTCCATTTATTAAATGTGATTCTTACTAAAGATAAGTGCTTACAAGGTGAAACTAATATGTTTTTTTCATGGGACAGCACCAATGTTGTACCCTACAACCACAAATTGTGCAGGAATGTTCCACATATGGGGAAATTGCAGGGGTCAGCACTTCAGAGTGCAATGGATAGGCCTCACCCTGGGAAAATCACCTTTGTGATTATGGCATCTCCCTGTCAGGTGAGTATGAAAAACATTTTTTAATAATAAATAATTTAAAATGTAAGGTCATTTTTCAGAGTTCATACCTGTTGTTTTCAATTTAGATAGTACATGGGAATGAGTTTTGATAGACTGGAATATATCACTTCTTTTTCATTTTACAGAGGTTCAGTAATGTACTTAGTGGAGGAAAGTGAGAAAAATACAAGAAAATTGAAAGAAACAAAAATGTCACTGAAACTTTACTTTATCTCAAGTATTATTATAGGTACTATTTGTTTATTTTACAGAATTTCTGCCACAGCTTAAATTGTATCATTCCAATAGAGTGTCTGCCACATAAATTTTGGGTTCTGTGAAAAAAAATAAATATATGGAACTCCAACCAGAATGGGGTAGTCAAGGCCCCTTTTCCTTTGGAATGTGATGCTAAGTGAAGGCAGATTGGTACTGCAAAGAGATTACAATATCTGCACTGAAAAGCATTCAGTACTTGAAGTGGGTACGAGGTTGTCAAATTGCTTGCATGGCTGCCAGTCCATGTTAAGGTAGGTAGTCTTAGTATGGATGATTCTCAAAAAACTAGAAATTGAGCTCCCATTTGACCCAGCAATACCACTCCTGGGAATATATCCCAGAGAGGAAAAAAGTATAGCCGAAGTGACATCTGCAATTGTCTGTTTATTGCAGCACTCTTTACAATAGCCAGAATCTGGAAAAAACCTGAGTGCCCGAGAACAGATGACTGGTTGAAGAAACTCTGGCACATTTACACAATGGAGTACTATGTAGCTGTTAGAAAAGACGAAGTCATGAAGTTTACATACAAGTGGTACTACATGGAAAGTATCATGTTAAGCGAAATGACTCAGAAAGAAAGGGATAGACATAGAAAGATTGCATTCATCTGGGGAACATAAAGTAACAAAATAGGAAACTAACACCCAAGTATGGCAGAGATTAGTACCAGGGATTTTACTCAATGACCCGGAGGACAACCACACATGTTAGGGGAAGGGGGAGCTCAGAAAGAGAAGGGAACACCAAATAAAGGGTGTTGGGAGGATCCGCCCATGATGGGAGAGCATGCTGAGGGTAGACTGTCGACCAAGCATGATTGCTACTCAATGCCTCTTTTGCCGACCATGGCACTCAAAAGGAGAGAGAGGGAAATGCCCTGCCACAGAGGCAGGGTGGGATAGGGGCTGGGGGGGGGGAGGGGATGCTGGGATCCGAGGTGGTGGGAAATGCGCATTGGTGGAGGGATGGGTGTTTGATCATTGTATAATCGAAACCCAAGCACAAAAATGTGTAAGTCTACAACTGTACCTCATGATGCCTCACTATTGAAAAAAAAATTTTTAAAAAAATAAGATAGGTAGTCTTTTACTGTATCTACACTTCCTGCCTTGAGTCTTTGCTTACATTTCAAGGAGAAAAGAAGAAAATAGTGGCTTAGAACTGCCTTCAAATACCATTTCAGGTGGAGGTGGCAGCAATCATGTAAACGCAATACAGAAAAAGAGAATACATAGAACTGTGTGTGGCTGGTCGAAGAATGCCTGCAGAGAGGATTGCAAATGATGCTTCATTTGCCTTAATATTTTTCTTTCCTAGGGTGCTTGGGTTGTTTCCAGATTTGGGCTATTGTGAACAGTGATGCAATGAACATATAGGTACAGATGTCATTTCTACTGTGCTTTTTTGCACCCTCAGGACATATTCCCAATAGTGGTATTATGGGGTCATACGGGAGCTTAATTTCTAGTTTTTGAAGGACTGTCCACAATGGAATACTATGCAACTGTTAGTAGAGATGAAGTTATGAAATTTGCTTATAAGTGGATAGACATAGAGAGCATCATGCTAAGTAAAATGAGTCAGAAAGAGAGGGACAGACATAGAAAGACTGCATTCATTTGTGGAGTATATAATAACATAATATGAGACTGAAATGCAAGGGCAGTAGATACAAGGGCCAGGAAGATTTCTCTGTAGTTGGAAGCCTGTCTCATGAGCAGAGGGGAAAACGTAGCTGGAATAGTGAAGGGATCACTAAGAAAATGATGGCCCAAAAGTAGACAGAGTATGGGGAATATGTCTGCCATGGAGGCAGTGGGAGTGAGAAAGGTAGGGTATACCAGGAATATTGGTGGTGGGGAATGTGCACTGATGGAGGGATGGGTGTTTGATCATTGTGTGATTGTAACTCAAACATGAAAGCTTGTAACTGTCTCACAGAGAGTCAATACAAAAAAAAAAAAAGATTTCCTTTACTAGGGGCAGAAGAGATAGATGCATCATTGTGTACTGTCCAAGCATCACCAGAAGTGATCCTTGTATAAAAACACAGAATGATACTCTTTACTCCACAGAGTATGGGCAAACAACAAACAAAAACACTTCACTTTCTAAGTTCAGATAGAAATCAAAGACCAATTATTTACAATTGTTCTTGTTTGGAAAGCAGCTAATGTGGTTCAATCCGCAATAAGCAATCCCCTGAGCAGCACCTGGGGATAATTCTTAAGCACTGAGTACTGAGCCAGAAATAGTCCCTGAACAGTGCTGGATGTGGCATAGCCCCCAATAAATATGTAAATATATAAATAAAAAATAAAAAAATAAAAGTTTAACTCCACAGGACATTAAACCCCATACCCATATGCAACTGTATTGCTTACATTGTCATGAAGTAAAATCTTCATGAAAATCTTATTTTCATTTTACAGCAGAAAAATTACCAAATGTAATACTGTCAAAATGAGATAAAATGTGTGTAGCTGTGTGTGTGTGTGTGTGTGTACAGGTGGGTAGGCCCTTAAAGATCTAACTTAGGTTATTTTTCCACTATATCTAATTGCCTTATAAAATTCAACACCACTTAAACGTATGGAAAAGTTTTTGTAGTATATTTCTTGAAGACTATACATTCGTGTATACTATACATTCTTGTATACTATACATATTGCTGGAGCGATAGCACAGCGGTAGGGCATTTGCCTTGCATGCAGCCAACATGGCTGACCCAAGTTCGATTCCTCCGCCCCTCTCGGAGAGCCCAGCAAGCTACTGAGTGTATCTTGCCCGCACAGGAGAGCCTGGCAAGCTACCCATGACGTACTCTATATGCCAAACACAGTAACAACAAGTCTCATGATGGAGACGTTACTGGGCCCGCTCAAGCAAATCGATGAACAACGGGAGGACTGTGACCATGACCGTGACTATTTTTTATATTCTGAGAAAATGTAAAGAAAATAAAATGACATAAAAAATATACAATTTGTTTCGAAACATTGAAAATACATTCTACCGATCTATTATAATTCTGTTCTAACAGTAAATTGTCAACGGTAAAATCAATATTTTATGTGTTGTCAATATTGATTGTCGAGCAAAGGGAAATTCAAATATGTTGAATTTCATACATATACACACATATGGGCTAGAGCAATAGCACAGCAGAAGGGCATTTACCTTGCACACAACTGACTTGGCTGACACGGATTTGATTCCTCCGCCTCCTCAGAGAGCCCAACAAGCTACCAAGAGTATCTCACCCACACGGCAAAGCCTGGCAAGCTACCCGTGACATATTCGATATGCCAAACACATTAACAAGTCTCACAATGGAGACGTTACTGGACCCACTGGAGCAAATCGATAAACAACCGAAGGACAGTGCTACTACAGTGCTACACATATACATGCATGTGTTTGTTATGAAAGGCATGAACAAATTTGCAGATTCGTTCCTACATCCACTAGATATTTGTCTATTGTAAATACTCCATTTTTTAAGTAAACAACACCAAAAAAAATCATCTTGCATTAAGCTTAGTTTTTATTATTATCTGACTAGTTGTGGATATTAGTTAATTGCTTGTCAATTAAAATTAGCTCTGAGCATTAAACTAATACATTTAAGTAAAGCTTAATATTTAAAGATAAGAAAATCTGGGGCCGAATCAGGCTCTTGCCTTTCAAGCAGCCAACTTGATTTGATACCTGGCACTTTGATCCCCGGAGTGATCCCGGAATTCAGAACCAGGAATAAAAGCCTGATTAGTTCTGTGTGCAGGACATAAGTCACACACAAACATATGCGTGTGTGTATACGTATATGTATATATACGTCTATATATACATATATATGAAAATCTATTACCACTAATCCTAGAATTGAGTATTTGTCATCATTTTCCTACTTGTCTTAATTTTACAGTCATAATTTTAATCTGTTTTATAATCAATTATTTGTTTATTCTGATAAAAGCATGAATGGTAATAATAAAAGCAAATGGCAGATGGAAAAACTCAGTGGTGAACATCTGTCTGCCTGCATGGGTCTGTTAGTTTGATCTTAGATACCACTACATGGAGAATTGTTGCTTGTTATCCTTAGCACTACAACAAAGTGTGAGGTCTCCACTTGTGTATGGGTTCCACTACTAAACTATAAAACTCATAAATGTTGTGAAATGTGTGATCATGGCAACCGGGGGTGCAATCTCCAGTGAACGTCAAAATCAGATCTGTGTGATCCCTGGTCATTCCAATGGCAACAGCAACAAAGAGAAGGGAAGAGGGAATTATTTTAACTAAAAAAAGTTAATTAAAAAGCGAAAGCATATGAAATCTAAAGTAAATATTAAAGATCTCTATAAATTATGCATTATGTACATAATGTGTATACTAACACAATAAATGTTATATATTGTTCATAAATATATTTAATGTAAATTATAAATTTTCTATATACAGCTTATATATACAAATTATGTGCATAGCATAAATGTATAGAATACACATGTATTGCACGTATTTTTATCTACAAATAAGTTTACAAATAAAAATACTAAATAAACATATAGAGAGATATAGAGAGAAAGAGAGAGAGACATAAGATTATTTTAAACAGTAATTACAATAGTTATTACAACTATGGGAAAATAAACACACTGATAGAGGCATTGTTTCTCATAGAATTCCACAGTAGCTGACATGTCAAAAGGTTTAAGAA